TATATATATATATTCATTCATTCATTCATTCATTCATTCATTCATTCATTCATTCATTCATTCATTCCTGATGGACGAGCTCAAATAGAGATTCATTCCACTCCCACCACATCTCTTTGGTGCTCAGCTGCTGTTGCCATATTAGCATATACTACAGTGTTACCAGAACACTTTATAATATGCAGAGACTAGTTTCTCCTTTATCTCTGCATAGGGGAAGTGTCAGGGATACTGTGGAATTATGACAAGGCTGTTCTTTTGCTCTGAGCACAATGTCAGCAACACTTGTTGCGCTTTAAGCTTTTAATGGAGGAGGCCACAGCCACCCAGAAGTCATTCCACATCTTCTTGGGGATCTCTGAATGAGCATGAGGTTAGGGCCTCCCACATGAAAGATACCAAGATATATATATTTCAAAAGTGTGTATTTGTGTTTGGGTATCCATGAAAGAGAGAAAGGGAGAAAAGCAAAAAACCTAGAAAGCTTCATTTTAAGGATTTATGGAAACAATCTAATAGTGCCAATACTATTATTAATATTTTTGCCAGTAGAACTAGGAGCAGTGGAAAAGATTATTGCTATTTAGAAGAGACTATTGTTAAGAAAGCATAATAAATAACAGATATATAGCTGCTTCTATTAACTGTAAAAATAGAGAGCAATTTTATCTGTGCTCCTTCTCAAATCCTTGTATCAGCAATTCTGAGATTATACAGAGTATAATAAAGCTCAAACAAAACCAGCAGACAGGTTTTAGCAAGATTCCAGGGAACAGAAACATATATCAAATATTTCTTAGAGTTTTCCTCTGTCCCAAGATTCTTTCTGAGTAAATTGTTGAGGGGAGTATGATGTTCACCCCCTACTCCCAGGACTTCCACCACTTTAAAACAAAACCAAACCAAACTTTTCCCTAATTAGATGAAAACCCACACCATTCATTACATGTAACTGGTAGTTCCAACTGGGCTGCCCTTTCAGGTGAGTCATATTCTTGACCAAAAGGACTCCAACACAGCTCTAATCGACATATGCTCCAGTTTAGGGAAATACATTTCTACAATAGGCTGCTTTGCTTTTGTCATTATTTCTTTCACCAAGGCATGCTATGGAAGAGGTGGAAGAGATAGTAAAATGTGCAGCATGGGTGCCTCAGGAAACTTCCTCAGTTCTTCCTGGTATTCAAATTTGTTCTGTATGTTCTGAGACGCCAGCTTCAAATAATTAATTTTAATGAAAATATAGCTTCCATATTTTGGAGAATATGATAGGAATCACATCAATTTCTACTGCTGGGCATACTAACCCAACAGGAAGAGGTTGTGCCTAAACTAGACACCAGTTCCCAGGCCAAGCAAGTTCTTACACTGACATATCAGAAATCCCAGTTAAACTTGCAGCTCCTGCTTGCAATCAATTTGCAGAAGGCTTACATGGTCAGCTTAAATAAAAATGGAGAAGAATGTCCCACCTGGTTCGGCTTTCCAAAACGGCCCCTGAGCCGGCCACCTTCTCCCTAAACCCTCAACTCCCTTCCTAGTAAACCAGTCAGTGGCTTTGCAGTCAGATTCCCTGTAAATCTTCCCTTGACTGTGTTGGGGGACACACAGGTATAGGGTTTCTCTTTGTCCCTACCTGGCATCCAGGTGAATTGGCTCACTGGTACATGGTATAAGAGGGCATTCAGGCCCACTGACCTGCAGGAGCTGTTGCGAGACCTCCAGCTCTCAGAGATGAATGGCCTTGGGTGTGCCAATATTATGTATTAGCATGGGAGTGAGAAAGGGAAAACACTTTCTTTCCTTCCTGTCACCATTTGTGTTGCCATATCTATCACTGCTGCTGTTTTGCCAGGCACAATCTTAAGGATACAGAAGCAGAATGGGAAGGAAACAAAGTGTATTGTCATAAAGGGAAATAATTTTTTGACTCTCAGAATAAGCCAAATTATCTCAGATGTATGTGGAAATTATTTGGACTACCTATGGATGAATTTGAAGTTAGCAAGAACAAGCTTATCCATTTCCACTGAATAGCTACTTCAGTGAAATACATACAGTATACATATATAAATACAAATATATTTGATCAATAATTTGTAATATTTGTATACAGTGCAAATATAATCCCTTGGTGCCCCCAGGGAGACACCAGAGGCTTAGTAATCTAGGGAGGCTCTTGTAAATGATTAGCTTGAGTCCCACTTCCATTTTTAAAAAATAAATATATAAATCACATTTTCACTTTGGGTACTACTTTGATTTCCCTCTCCCCAGCGCCAAAGGAGTAAAGTCCTCCTAGATTCATGGTTACTGTTAAACAAGCAGGTGGGCCAGGGGGGCTTTGCCCAACTTTGTCTGGTATACCAGTTGCAGCCTGCCTGGAGTGCAGGGACCTTGTAACAATAGCTCATGTCCTCATCATCACCCACTTGGACTAAGAAGCTTCAGTATGGTGTACACTGGCATACACCTGTACGACACCTAATATCTGTGCTCCAGACTCTGCCCTGGGTCCCTATTTGCTTCCGAGTGCAATTCAGAGTGGTGGTTTGGAGCTTTAAAGCTCTACATAGCTTGGCACTGAAGTAATTGCAGGACTGTGCTCTCCAGCTGGTCTCACCCTATCCAACAAACTGCTAGGGGCCCCTCCTTCTCTGAAGTGAGAGAGTAGAGGCTCTCAGGAACTGTTTTGCCATTGATGTGCTCTCAGGAAGTTGATCTGCCTCTGTG